CCTCTATGGGAATTTCAGAAGCCCCGCTGGGCCTGGGCGGTCGGCTTCTGGTACTGGCTCCGAGCAGGGACGAGACCCAAGCTCCCGACCTGGGAACCAAGGGGGGTGTTGCCCAACTTGAGGTCTCGTTTGAGAAGAGCAAGAACTCAGTGCACCCCCCATCCTGGAGCACGTACCTCTCCCTCCAGTGGTGCCTGTCTCTCCCTTGGGCCCCGCGGCCCCGGGCAGCCCCGGGCAGCCCCGGAGAATGGTGAGCTTGTCGGAGCCCTCCAGACCCACCAACTTCACCTCTGCGGAGAAGCACAAAGTGCCAATCAGGGCGCTCGTCCTGGGCCTGATGGCCCCGCAGAACCGGCAACAGGCTGCCCGATCTGAGGGCATCTGCCCCGCAGTGACCTCGGGCCTGGGCAGATGGCCATGGCCAGCGTCACCTGCCTCAGCTGGACAGTCAGCCTGGCAGCGAGGCTCTCCCGCCTCTGCTGGGCGCTGGTCAGGTGGGGAGGTGACGCAGGGCAGAGCCCTGGCCTCGGAGTCCGCCCTGCCCGAGGGGAACCCAGCCCCTCAGTGCTGTGTGTCCCCGGGCAAGTCACTCCACCCCTCTGGGCTTCTGTCCCCTGGGCTGCCAAGAGGGACAGGAGTAGGCTGTGGAGAGGATTAGACCAGATGATGCAAATTTAACAAATCTTAGTGTAATTCACGGCATTTAAGAAGACCTTCATAAAAGTGGGTACTTCCAATAAATAATACCAATAAATATTTATAAGAAACGTGGGGAATTGGGGTCAACATAGCATTTTCACCTTCAGACCTTGGGCCTGTGACCCAGGGATTCCTGAGCTGGAAGGGGTCCCTGTAGGTCCCCTGGAGAGGGGACGTGTTTGACCCAAGGACACAGAGCGAGCTCCGGCCGAACTGGAACCAGGGATTTATTTACTTCTTAGAGTTTAATTGTGTTGATTACAAAACTCAAAAATCCTCATGAGAGACAATTTCGAGAATATGAAATCAGCGATGCTGTCACTGGGGACACAGAAGGCTGCCGAGTTTTGGTGTAGCTCCTCTCTGCCTGTCCTATGCTCTTTCCTCTGGAGCAAACTGGAAGGTACTTTTTATGCTTCCCCCTTAAATGTGTTGTCAACTCCGGAGGAGGCTGGACCGTCCTCAGGAGCAGTCTCTCTCCAGGCGTGGGCCCCATCCACCCGCTTAGGAGCAGGATGGAGACCACTCTGCCTTTTAGCCCCGGAATCTGCTGAATTGGACTCTCTGGGGTGAGGGCCAGAAATCTGCATTAACAAACCCCCAAGGAAGTGCGGGAGCCCCTGGATTGGAGAATCTCAGAGCGCCCTCTGGAGAGCCCACAGGAGAAGGAGAAAGTGAGGGGCGTTTTCCTCCTCCCCAGTGACAGAGTCCAACCAACTGTGCAGCTCCGTGCAGGACATCATGGGCTTGAGAGCCAGACCCCAGCGTAAATCCCTCTCCTTCCCCCCTGAAGGACCCTGGGCAAGCCATCTCCTCGCCTGAGGATAAAGTTGAGCTGTTGACAGTCTTCAGAAGAAGACTTGTGTAGAGGGTTTAACCCGGGACTCTGTACGTGGTCAAGGAGTGGGCAGTTACCAGCTTTCAAGGACCAGAAAACTCAGGTCCATCTCACCTGGACAGGTGTCGGCAGCCAGGGTCTTGATGCACAGCAGCAAGAGGAGCTGGCCAGCAGGCCCCAGGGCCACGGCGACTCTGCGCCACGCCATGTCCTCTGGTCTCCGACCTCGAAGAGGCGGCCCGCTCTTATAGGGCTGCCCAAGCCTGGGCCTGTAGTTTCTCAACCTCCACAGGGCCGCCTACTTCCCCCAGGCTCTTTGATTGCACCACAAGGAGGTAAGAGATGATCACAGAGGGTGTTTCCTTCCCATTGGGCCCCACCAAGCTGCCTGCTGAATCAGGCTCACTTCCCCTGGCAGGAACATGCTGTCCCCAGGCAAGAGAGCTCCCAGGACCCCTCTGCTGCAAAGGGCCTGCCTAGTTTGTGGCTTAAGGAAAGCCCAGCTCCCAAGCCCCCTTCTCACTACCCAGTATACCCAAACAATACCCCAGGCCTTGAAGGGTTTGCCGAAGATATCTCCCTCATCTGATTTCCAGAATATTCAGGGTCTGAGCCAGTCATTGGATACTTGACATGAGGGCAGAGAAAAAAACTCTGAGCACCTACTATATACCCAGTACTACTTACACCAGCCCCATTAGGTAGATGCTATTATTTGAATTTCACGGGTGGAGAAATTGAAGTCACACAGCCAGAAAGAGCCAGATATTGGTATCAAGTCTACCTAACGCACTGAGGCCGTTCACATCCGAAGGTGAGGACGTGTCCCCCAAAATCCCTGAGGCCATCCTCCGCATCTTGTACTGTGAGTCACGCTCAGCCTGAGCACGCTGCGGGCACTTTGTGGAGGGGTTCTGAAGATGCGTAGAAACGCCCACTAAGAAGAGTAGGAGGGTGACATGAGCGGAGGAGCAGAGGGCAAAACTCCTGCGATTTGATATTTCTCCTGGCCAGTGTGCGTGGACTGGCATTCTGACCACACTAGCTCCCCAAGTAGGAGAGAAGGGCAGGATGGCCAGACCAGAGGTTTAGCAAAAGGGGTGGGATGTCAAGGGGGCATAGGACCTTAGGTCCATCTCCATGGGCACCGCACTGACACCAGACTTTGCAAATTTCTTTGCCGGGGCTTCAGCATAGTGTGACAGGGAGCAACCAGGCTGCGTTACCTCAGACACCACTTAGCTGCCCTGAGCTACTGGACCAGGCAGCCTGTCCCCACAGCACAGGTCTGGATTTCAATGGTGCAGCCTCGTCTGTTGGAGGGGAGCCGATCCAGGAGTGCTCACCTGGGGTTAGTCAGGATAGGGAGAGAGGCCGCAGGTCCACGTCCCTCAATCCCGTCTGCCAATGACCCTCCGGGGACCAGGGTGCTCCCTCTTCTTTGCATTATCAGTAGGTTCAGGTGAGACGCCAGCAATACAATCGGATATCCAGCTGGTGTCCTAAGAGTATGTGGGCCTAAGAATACGCAAGAATGAAAAACGCTGTCAAGTTCAAATATCTTCAAGTTGAATCAACAAAAGTCATTTGACTTCTGGCAATGGCAGTTTAGGTATTTTGGGCCATCCGTCCCACTAAGGAAAAACAGATAAATAATTAAAAAAGAGATTTGCTTGAAGGCATAGCCGAGTGAACCATGTAGGAAAGGCTTACCTTCCCACGTTCTTGGGAGCAACAGAAATCTGGAGCGGGGAAACCAGGACTTGGGGCCTCTTTTGCCAGGGGGATTTGCCAATCCCCAAAAGACAGCTGAGAGGCTGTCAGTTACCTTGATGATTTTGCAGTGCTAAAGGTCAAAGGTTGGGGTCTAGAGCCTGTTGAGGGTGTGGATTTGGGGTTGGGATCCACAAGGGCTGCTCACTAGGAATAAGGATGAATCATCAACAGCCAGCCTGAAGGTGGACTGCAGATGGGTTTGAGGCATTTAAACATCCCAGGAAAAGAATCTCAGCTCTTGAAATTCCAGTAAGGTCTTCCTAGATTGCTCATGCCCTCAGACTTCCAGCGGAAACCAAAACAAATCTTCTCTGAGGGAAAACAGCATCATCCCAGGATTTAAATTATTTCTGCAAATACATATGTTTTTCAAATGAAATGTCAGAACACAACAAAAGATCACCAGGTTCATGCTGATAAAAGACAACATAGGCAAGGACAAATAGAAACAACAAATTATAGAAACAGATCCCTGGAAGCTGCAGGCACTGACACTCAACACGACTAACAGTGGAAGTTGAAAAGCGCCCTCAGACTGAGAACAAACAAGGATGTTGACAATCACCACTTCTGGTTAACGTTGGATTAAGCATCACTCTCAATACAGGAAGGCAGGAAAAAAACGTAAAACAATTGGAAAGGCAGACACAAAGTTGTCATTATTTTCAGAAGATATGAGTTAGTATGCAGAAACATCAAGAGAATCTAAAATTAAATTTCTAGGATGAATATACTTCACAAAGCTCCATTATGTTTCTAAAAATTAGCCACAAAGTATTACAAAATAAATTTTTGAAAATTTCGAGTAGCAACACCAAAGTCAAATAACTGTGAATAAATCTAGCAAAATATACGCTAGACGTCTGTGTAGAAAACTATCAAATATGAAAAAAGAGACATTAAATGAGATAAAATAATTGGAAAGATAGTCTATGTTCACGGATTAGAATGCTCAATATTGTAAAGATGTTAGTTTCTCTCTGATCTCTAGATCCACTGCATTATCAACTAAATGCTGATTTTATTGTGAAACTTGACAAGGTGAAGTTAAAATTTGTATAAAAGGCAAAGATAGCTAAGATGCTCTCGAGCAGGAACAAGGAAGGATGATACCCTCCTTCTACCTGACACCAATCACTATCATAAGACATAGGAATTAAGATGACGTGGTCCTGGCTCCCGGACACGGACTAAACCAATGGAACTGAATAGAGTCCAGAGACAAATTTAGGTGTGTACTGACCCCTGTTTTATGACAGTGGTGGCTCTCCAGAGCAATGGGGAAAGAATAAACTTTCAATAAATGGTGTGAACTACTGGCTATTCAAATAGAAAAACAAGAAATGAAACTTGACACATAGAAAAAAACACGTCATGGTTTATTATTAAAGGAAGAAGTGCTGTGCAATAAAATTAAGATAAAATATCTGGCAGCCTGGCATCCCCGACACCCCAGACGGTCCTTTAGGCCCAGTGAAAGAGGACTGCAGGTGGCCCGTGGATCCTGGGGAGAAGTCTTGTGGTGCCCCACCGGCTGTGGGCAACCAGTGGGGTCTGGCCTTCTCCCTCCCGGAATGGAGGTCTCGGGGCCTGGCTGCAGAGAGCACAGTGCTTCCCCAGCCCTCCAGCAGGCCCTGCCTTACTTGCTGTTTTGCCAACTGAAAAAGTCCCAGAGAAAGTCCCGGCTGGTTGATGCTGAGCGTGGGGCGCCTAGTGCTGTGCTCACATGCGGAAGCATGGTGGGCTGCCAGACCGTGTCATGAGAGGGGGTCTAAGGAGGCCGGGGCTCCCACACGCCTGCCCTCGGTGCCCGGGCCCCAGGAGCTAGGTTCGGGTGCCCACACCGAGGGGCCCTCCTCAGGGCTTTGGAACCGACTCCATTTACGTGGGAGGGATGACAGAGCCTGACACGGGACACTCGCTCTCCGAATCCCCCACAGCACCCTGCTGGAGCTTTGGCAGCGCGGGGGCAGCGAGGATGGGCTCCATTTACTGAGATTTCCAAGTCTGGGTTAAGGCGGGTCTTCCAATGGGGCCCGGGTCAGGGGGTCACCATGTCACAGTTTTGGACAGTCGACACAGCACAGTGAGGACCTTGAGACCGGAGGAGGGTTCCAATCAAACTGCTGATTTCAGCTGATGAGTTAGCGGGTCTCTGGAGAAATTCCTACAGTGAGCAGGGAAGTCATTTGCAGCTTTCACTGTCCTGAGCAAGAGTCTCCAGGAACAGCGGGGCACCAGGGAGCACCAGGTGCACCCTCCTCCGCCACAGAGAACTCGCTCCTCCAGGCCACCAGAGCCGGCCTCGGGGTGTCCGGCTGCCTCCCAGGAGCTGGGCCTGTCCCCTGAGCCAGGCTGTCCCCTGTCCCTCTGTGGGGCCCCTCTCCCTTCCTGCTCTCCCGAGGACACAGGTCTGGGGGCTGTGGGAAAGGGGGCCGCTTGCCCGGCTGGACGCACCACTCCTGAGAGCCCCACAGGCACCTTTGTTGGGCTGTGAGGCCGGTCCACACCCGGAGCCCTTCTGCTAGGGGAGAGGCTGTCTGCCAAGCCCAGAGCCCAGGAAAATGCCCTCCCCTACTATTGGGGCATCTCTATTTGGGGGTAGGGGGGCCGGGCCTGCCTTGAAGGACACCACTGGCAGCACCATGTAGACCTGGGTTCTCCTGACCCAGGCGGTGTGACCTTGGGCCAGACACTTGACCTCTCTGAGTCTCCTTCTCATGTGACTCGGGATAACACGGTGGACTTGAGGACTATGTGGAGGGAGGATGATAAGCTCGAAGCACAGGGTCTGCGATAGACTCGGGGATCAGTGTCTTCTTTGCCCCTCCCCAGCTGGCCTGACCTTCCTCCCAGCACCCTCCCCTGCCAGCTTTAAGGATCCACCCTCCTTGGCCTGGCCACCGTGCCCTGTCAGGCCTCAGTTTCCGTCCGGTGTTTCACAATCTGGGTGGAGGCGCCCGCTGGCTGCTGGTCACTGTCATAAGCTCCAGCCCCACCGCCCCAGCCCACCCTCAGTTCCCTCACTACCCCCCGCCCCTCCAGCAGCTGTGCCGGGTCATGGCTGCTCCGCTGAGGGTGCCAGGAGCTGTGCCCCAGGGTGAGCCCTGTCCTGCTGTATGCACAGAGCCAGGATGGGGGCAGCGCCACCTCGAGGGGGCAGGGCTCCGGCAGAGGCTCTGGGGCCACAGTGCCTACAGCCCGTGACACCTTTAGGGGCTCACAGAAATGTTTTTGATTTCTTTTAAAATCAGAAGAAAAATGAATACGATTTGGCCCAGACTATATTCACCTTTGAACCTCCACAGTTGTAAAATACGACTTTTTATATTTTCTGTGGTAGAAGGGGCCCACAAAGACGGAAGTGCCCAGGATCCCCCAGATTGGAGCTCCCCCTAGGGACCCTGTTGGACATTCCAAGAAACGCTGGGTGGGGTCAGCACTGCGACCAGGCTGTCAGCTATCAGGAGGGAGTTATCTCTCTCCTATTCTCACAGGCCTGCAACTCCCCCGCCCCCCATAAACAATGCCCCCACAGCAGGCTCCCTCAGCCTTGGCACCAGCAACATTCAGGGCCAGACAGTTTCTTGCCGTGGGTTCTGTCCTGTGCACTGCGGGATGTTAGCAGCACCCCTGGCTTCTCCCTGCTATGCCAGTAGCACCTTGCCCTCCCTGAGTCATGACAACAGTCATGATAAATGTCAGCAGACATTGTCCAATGTCCCCAGGGGGGCAGAATCACCTGCTGTTGAGAACCATGCCTCTTCACTGTCCTAAACCTAAAGATGACCTTATTTCTTGGCCAACCCCTAGAATCTTATCCGTCCCGTGCCCCTTTCTCCCCCCCAGGTGTCTGCAGGCTCATGGGGCACCAGTGGCCTGGAGGGCAGCGCTCCTGGAGAGGGCTGGGCCGGGCATCTTGGCTCATTGCAAGCTCAGTGTGTGACCTCAGCCAGGCTTCCTGCAGGCGGCACCCGTAAGGACAGCCGAGAGAGAAGACTGTCGTGCTGCACAGAGGGGACCTCACTCAGGCTTCAGCATCCACCCGGGGATGGGGCTTTTAGAGACACTGACAAGAGGCCCCTGTGGAAGGCGAGAGACTGGGACCCACACCTTCCGAGGATGGTTCCAAGGGCGGGGAGAGAAGATCCGGTAGGACGAGACCCCTGGGAGCCACCACGGGGCATGCGGGGTCAGCCTGTGGGACCTTTCCTTGGACAAGCCACAGAGCAAGTCCTCTGCCAGGAGGGAGCAGGGCTGC